ATCCATAGCCCCATTTCCAAATATGGGGGCTATAGATAGAAATAAAGAGAAAAGAAAAAATAAGCTCTAAAAAACAGAACACCAAGTTATTACTACAAAACTCGAACATGATTATAATGATTGGGTTGTATAAGTTTAAACAAAAACGACTGCTCGAGGGTTGAATTTTTTTTTTTTATGGTTTACATTTGTTAATCGTTGTACAGCCCATAATAAAAATAATAATATAAACTTACAATGGCATAAAACATAACAAACATAAACTAGGTATCTGAAAGAAGATCGCAAGGATCATGTCGTCAGAACCTTAAAAAAGCATTTAACAAAGGTAAGATTAAAAAAATAATAATAATAAGAAACTTTTACAAAATTGCAAGGCAAACAATCTGCGTCTGAAGAAAGATCAAGAAAGATTCTCATCAGATTTTTATACACAAGTAAACCAACATATAAATTAAAAAGTAAAAAGTATACGAACAATAAAAGAAATAAGTAGGAATAAACTTCTATAAACATAAAACTTCTACAAACAAAAAAAATAGACCAAAATATATTTTTAACTTTTAGTACTAATAATAACTCAATATATTATCTAATAAAAGAATGAGGTTTTTCAGTTTTTTTTAAAAATGCAAAAAGTAATAGGTACTTTAAAATTAAAATTCGCCAAAACAATTTTATTCCAAAGGCCACACCTTTACCGCTCGATAGGTAATACAAAATTGATTAAAGTTTGTTTGACAAAAAAGTTTATTTAAAAAGTTATTATTTCTCAAAATACATTTACTGACTGGTTTAAAAGAGAAAAGATCTTTGAATACAGCTAGAGAATAGTTATTTATCCACATATACACTAAAAATAAAATATTAAATACATTTAACTCGTAAATATTCAGAATTCTCATTTCAATAAAACAATGCGTCGAATAGGAGAAGAATGAGATAAGAAAATGAGAATGAAAGAGAAGAATGAGAATGAGAATGAGAGAAGCGATTTGCAAAATTCATTATACGGATTGCGCGTTTCTGACGGAGTAAAGACGTTGCAACTTACTTTTTTCTGTACTTCCCCAAGCAATATTGGCATAGTTTAAATAACTATGTATAAAAGAATAATAAAGTTGGATTAAGACTTTCTTATTGAGATAGATTCGTGATTTATATAGGATGCCCATGGTTTTAGAAATTTTTGCGCTTATATAATCAATATGGTGATTCCAAGTAATGTTTTCATCAAGATAAAAACCTAAAAATTTTGTAACAAAATCTCTTTTTATTTCCTTTTGATCGATAAAGATTTGAGGTAATTTTGATGGGAGAAATCACTTTTTTGTAACCGAATGAAATAAAACTTATTTTGTTTTATTAGTATTCAAGATTAACTTATTACACTTGAACCAATTAGATATATTTCTGAGTTCTTTGTTCACTGTTTTAAAAAGCTCATCGATATCATATTTAGAAAGGAATACATTTGTATTATCTGCATACATAATGCTTGTTAGTTTTGAAGCTTTATTCAAGTCATTTATATAAATTAAAAAAAGGAGAAGTCCAAGAATTGAACCATGTGGGACTCCACTGGTTATATTAAGAAAAGTGGGTTTGTAATCATTTTTAAATGGTACAAATTGCTTTCGGTTTGATAGATAACTTTTAAACCATTTTAAAATTTTATTTTTTATTCAGTAGAATTTGAGTTTATAAATTAAAATATGGTGATCGACCGTATCAAAAGCTTTTGATAAGTCAATAAAAATTCCTAGTGTATATTGTGATTTTTAGAATGATTTTGAGATTTCACGTACAAATTGGATAATTGCATGTTCAGTTGAGTTGTTTTGCTTGAAACCAAATTGATTGATGCAAAGTAGATTATTATCATGAAAAAATTTGTATATTCTGTTGAACATTATTTTTTCTAAAATTTTCGAAAATATGGAGAGAACAGAGATAATACGATAACTGCTGATTTCAGATTTGTCCCCTTCTTTAAAAATAGGAATAATTTTTGCGATTTTTAATTGTTCTGGGAATACTCCTAAATGGATAGAAGCCCTAAAGATTTTCAAAAAGACAACTTTAAAGTTGTTCAAAGCAATCTAAAACCACGTTTCCATTAATTTAATCTGCTCCAATTGCTTCATTTTTTTAAACAGATTTAAAGGCTCTTTCAAACTCATCAAACTTTAATTCGGAAGATAACTTATCTGAACAAATGTAATTATCCAGGGGTTCTAGATAGTCAGTAAACAAAGATTTTGTTTTTGTGATTTTTTCAGACAGTGTTGGTCCTATATGAGTGAAATATTTGTTTAATTCTTGAGCTATAGTTTTTGGTTCATATAAACTTTTGTTATCGACTCTAACCATTTGTGGCAGAAAACCGGAGCATGGTTTATTTTTGCCAATAATTTCTTTCATTATTTGCCACGTGCGCATTGTGTCGTTTTTAAATGTATTGAATAATTGGGAGTAATAACTTTTCTTTAAATTTTTGCGAATTTTTTCAAATAGGTTTTTATAGTTCTTATAGATTTTTTCACTTGAAGCTGTTTTTGTTTTTAAAAAATTTATGTATAACTTTTGTTTTATTCTGGATGATTTTTTAAAACCTTTAGTAATCCAATATTCTTAGTTGTTATTGCTTTTTCTACTACTGGGAAATTAACTTTATATACAGAAAAAAATGTTTTGTAAAAAGTTACATAAATATTATTTGCGTTATCATCAAAATTTATGCTTTTCCAAAGCAGTAATGATATTTGTTCTTTAAATAATTTAATATTAGCCTCATTATAAATGCGTTTTCATATCATTTTTTTTAAATTAATGTTTCTTTCTGGGTTTGTTTTATTAAGTTTTAAGAATAGAGGAAAATGATCCGATATATCAGTTTTTATGATACCTATTTGTATATTATTATTAAAAATATCAGTAGTTATAATATCATCTATAAGAGTTTCTGTGTTTATTGTTACTCTAGTGAGTGGATTTATTAAAGTAACTGACCCTGTTTCAAAAATTGCATCATAAAAATTCTTAATTTTTTGGTCGTCATTATAGAGAAAACAGTTCATATTTAAGTCTTTGACTATATAGTTTTCTTTTTTATCATTAACTCTTTTTTTAATAATTTGTTGTAAGAACATGCTCAGGTTTTCGCTCACGCCGTCAGGTGGCCGATAACAACAGCTTAATAAAATGTTTTTAGTTTGATTGTTTGTAATTTCAATAGTTACAATTTCTTAATCGCAGTCAGAAACGCTCAAATCATTCCTAAAACAGTACTCAAAAAGGGATTCAAAGTCATTAGTCATAGCCATGATAATAAATAGAAAAAAAATAATAATAAAAATAAAAAAAAAAGGATTTCTTTTTAGGAGTACTAGTTATTTGTTAAAATTGATTTTAAAATTTTTATTAAAATAAACAATATTGTCATATCTTACCGTTACATTTTCACCATTTGAACGCCTTTGTTTTACTTCCGCAAATAATCTTTTCCGAATAGCAACGGTCTCACGAGAAAAGTCTTCGTTAATAAAAAAACTCGTGCCTTTTAGTCGATGAGATTCTTTCAAGATTCGTACTTTGTCTTTGTATTTCTGCAAGTTAATTACTATTGTCCTCGGTCGTCATCTTTCTTCAATCCAGTGCGGTGGGCACGTTCAATATCGATATTTTTCAGTCCAAGTTTTTGCCAGAAGAATGTGTGAACTTTTTCTTCAGAGTCCCCCCATGATTCTTGCCTATTTTCATCAATTCCATCGATTCGTAGGTTATTTCTTCTTGATCTATCTTCCAGGTTTCGTTGCTTTTTCTTTATAAATTTTTCTATATTAGTATGTTCGAATTTTTTATCTAGTTGTTTATTGTTGTTATGAATTTTTTTGTGAACTAGTTCTTCGTTGTAGTTTAGACTATGCTTAATATCTTCCAATTCCTTTGTAAGTTCTTTAATTTTGTTTGCATTCACGTTGATGTTTAACTCTGCTTTGTCCGGTTGTTGATAAAATGCGAACCGCGAACTGCGAACCGGTAAAATGCGAACTTTTTTGCGAGCCAAAACATTATATTTTAAAGACCATTATTGTTATGATAAAAATAATAATAAAAAAACTCTCCAATTCTTAATTATCTATTTTAAAATCTTATTTAATTAAATTTTTTATTTTTTAACAGTAAAACTTGCGCAAAGTGTTGCTACATAGACTATCTTATAGCCTGATTCGCAAAGGAGTGTTGCTACATCAACTATCTTATAGCCTAACTCGCAACGGAGTGCTGCTAAATCGACTGAGGGTTTGGTTTGGGCAGGCAGTCTATCAAATAATTGTCTAGTTCCTTTTATTTTTTTAAATTAATTTTTTCGCTTTAAAGTCCTTAAAATATGCCGCTAAATGAGCTATTTAACGGAAATAAACATAGGACGATGGTTCGCAAAAAAGTTCGCATTTTACCAATTCGCAGTTCGCGGTTCGCAGCTCGCATTTTACCTAGTACCGCTTTGTCCATTCTGTTGTTAATTATTTTTATATTTGCGCCAATAATTTCAATAACATTTTTTTCTTGTTTACGAAACATTTCTTCAGTTTCTTTTTTGAATTCTTTAAACATTTCTTTTAACATTTTTTTTATTTCAGAAAGTTTTACTGCCATAGTATAATATACGTGATAAAATAAAATTAGTTTTTTTAGATTAAACTTGAATATTTTTTCAAATGTAAGAAAATCCAAATGTTTTTTGTTTTTTTTATTCTCCTCGTGGTAAAATCGCGTCCTCTCTTGTTGAATGTTTGCGTTTCTGAACATCCGTCGAATGCTTGTGTGTCTGAACGTTTTGTTTAAAATGTAATCCGTTTAGAATGTAATCCAAATGAATCCGTTTAGAATGTAATCCGTTTTATAAAATATAGTGCAACGCAAAATAATTTTTGTTTCGCAAAATGATACAATACAAGTAAGGTTTGCACCGAAACAAACTCAACATTGAAGAGAATACGAACAGACACAGGTGCTTATTCTTTTTGCTGAATTAGTTTTTCTTAAATCATTTGAATTATTTATAAATTTAAACGCATTTTCCATTTTTCATATTTCTAAAATTTAAATCGGTACAATTAATTTTTTGGTTAACCTTCACATCAAACAATCGTTTAATGTTATAAGTGGAAAAATCAGCATCTAAAGTCTTCTTAAAAAAGCGCACGCACACAAAAAAACTTTTCACAGGTATTGAAAAATTAATAATAATAATAATAACAATAATAACTATAATAATAATAACAATATTATTAACATTAAAAATAATGATAATAATAATAATTTTGATGAATACCGATTTTTACATCCATTTAAAACAATCATGACAACCATTTAAAACAACGATGACATTTATTTAAAACATCGCGACAATCAATTAAAACAATGTGATTTTCATTTAAAACATTTAACGCATGCGCAATCTCAACATTCTATATTATTTAAAAAAAAAGGTTTTCTTTTATATATTTATTTATCTAATATTATATAAATTTATTTTTATTAATATTATATTAATTTATTTCAATTTGATGGAATTTATTTCAACTTTAAATGGATGTCATGTTTGCTTTAAATCAATGCAAAACCATATTTTTTATACGCATACTGTATTGGCAAAACAACCATGATATTCAAATAAAACATGCATGATGATAATTAAAACAACCATGATTTCCTACGAAAACATTTAGCGCATGAGGATATTAAATTTTCATAAAAACATGCAGCAAAATTCTGTTTTTCATAAAAACATGCCAAAATACGCGAAAACTTGGTCGTTGATCAAAGAAAAATTCAATCTGAAACTTCATTGCAGCGAAAAACTCAATCTGAATTTTCATGCTGCGAAAATCCGTTTCCCAAAACATGCGAGATCTTGTTGTAAATCTAGTCGTTGGTCAAGGAAAAACTGAATCTGAAGCTTCATCGTTAACAGGAGTTAATCGAAACACAATACAATCAATTTTAAGAAGGTACGATCGAACGAATTCAACACTTACTGGTTCTAGAGGTGCCACTCGCCACGTTATTTATAATGAAGAGATTAGAAAAAGAATTAAAGAATTTATAAACAATAATATAACGACAACTATAATTGAAATTAAATATGCTTTAAATGCAAATGTATCGATTAAAACTGCTGGAGATAGGTGACCAATCTTGGATTCACATATAAAATTACTCGACCAATTTATGAAAAAAGAAACAACAATGATGTAAAAAATCTTCGTATTGAATATGTTAGGTGGTATACTTCAATCTCGCCTATTAATCGCTATTGAGATATTGTTTTTATTGATGAAAATCCATTTAATTTACACATGTTTCGCAATCATTCATGGGCAAGAAGAGGAGTACCACCAAACCTGATCATTCGCCCTAGGCAACGTAACGTTTCGATGATATTGGCCGTCAATGGTTTAAATATTATTCACTGCGAAGCTGTCAGTGTGTCAGTCAACACAGTTTTGTTTCAAGATAATATTGATGAAGTTGTACGAGTTTTGACGACAAAGAAAGTATTCACCCTGGTGATGGATAATGTCAGAATCCATCATAATGTTGAGACTAGGGCTCAAAACATTCAAATAAAATATTTGCCACCATATTCACCATTCTTGAATCTGTGTGAAGATTTTTTTTTCTATCTTAAGAATAACGTGCGACCCCAGCTGAAAGTAATGAACTCATTTCAAGAGTGCGTAAGGCATACTTATCTATTCCTATATATGTTAGATGTTATATATGTTAACTTATCATATATGTTAACTTATATATATGTTAACTTATCAAACTATTACACAAATTGCGAAAACTTTTTCGAAGCGTTTCTTAGGTCAGATGACATACCTCAACAGTAATTGAAAAATAAACATATTTTAAATAATATAAAATTTTAAATAATTTAAAAAATCGAATAAAAAAAATAAAAATATATAAAGAAAACCTTTTTTTTTAATAATATAGAATGTTGAGATTGCGCATGCGTTAAATGTTTTATTTGAAAATCACGATTGTTTTAATTGAAAATCACATTGTTTTAATTGATTGTCGCGGTGTTTTAAATGAATGTCATAGTTGTTTTAAATGGTTGTCATGATTGTTTTAAATGGATGTAAAAACCGGTATAATGATGATGATGATGATGATGATGATGATGATGATGATGATGATGATGATGATGATGATGATGATGATGATTATGACTTAATAAAATGACTGATATTCAATTTTACCGATAAACAATATTTATATAGTATGTAACAATAGTTATACTAATTGTTTGTAATGTGTTTTTCAATTCTTTTAAAATGATAACGTGGCACTTCATAAACGTAACTTAAACACGCCGTCCTTTTTATATTCAAAAACAAAAAATAAAGAAGAGTAGTAAAGTAAAATGTTTATAACTTACAACGCTTGTGCAAATATTCACATTTAAATTAATTTATAGCATTTATATACATATAAGTAATTATTATTATATATAATACTTATATATATATAAGTAATTATTATAAAGTAATATTTAATAAATAATGATAATGTTAAAAGACTTATTATAACTAACAGTTAAAGCGGCCGCACAGTGAGTCAGAAGGGTGAAAAAATGGCAAAAATTATATAACTATTATATATAAACATATGATACATCAATAATATTGTATTTTGGGTCAAAAGATTTAAATACTACTTATTTTTTACGCGTACCTATGACGCGTACAACGCGCTCTCACGCGTGTAAGAGTCAATTGTGCGTGCAAAAGGTCGTTTAAGTTAAAAAAAATTGTCCAAAATACGATATAAAAGAATACCACATAATTTTTTATGTAAATTTTTCTTGTGGCTATGGCGTATTCTACACACGCGTATACGTGTTAGAGTCTTTAACGCGCACCAAGACTGACTTAATTAAAAAAAATTAAATTCTTCAAACCAAAACATTAACTAATTAAAAAGAAAAATTGAATTCAAAAAATATTTTAATATTATAATAATATTAAAATATATTAAATGCAAAATAAATATTTATCTAATCTAATTTTTCTTTCAAGAAAACAAAAAAAAATAAAACCTATTAATAATAAAAAAAGATATCTTTCATTATTACAACGTTAACAAAGATAAAACTTCAGGCTTAAATGTTTTTCCATTTTTAACCTTGTATTTTTTGAAATAAATGTTTGATATCACAGGATCACTTCTAATCAACAGGTATTGGTACAGGTTTTTCATAACATTCTTTCTAGATGTCTTGGCTGTATGGTTTAATCTAGCTTTTGCAAATTTTCTTATTTGGAACCTTTTGTAACTCGTCAGAGTAGTAATTAGTTAGTAGTTTTAATGCCTCAGATATCTTCACACCATATTCCAATTGTTTATGAACAGCTGGGGGAATCATATATAAGCAATAGTTTTTGAGTATAAGAGCAGTAGTTTCATAGAAATACTGGCCAAAACTTTCAGAGTTCAACACATAACAGGAGCATACTGATATCTGGATTGTCCTCAATCTAATAACTACATCTACTGCCACTCCCGTAATATCAGCAAAAGTTTCAGCTATTTTAAATGCCATTCTGATATTGTTTTCATTGTTAGTGTTGTCAAAACCTGTTTAGGCATATCAACTATAAGACTTGGCTCCTCTCTAATCCACTAAATGTTCTTTTTTCAACTTTTTACTGATGCTTTTTCACCAGGGAATTCGGCAAAGTATTTTCTAATGTTTAACTTATGTCCTAAATGTAAAATATGTTTAAAAAATCTAACCCAGCAATGCAGAGTAGAAAGGCCCAAAGAAAAAGCTTTTTCATTGATTGATTTAAATCTGATCAATGCTGGGTTATTAAGTTCACTGGGCTTAGTTCCGCAAACATAACAAGATTTGGAGGACAGAGTGTTAGTAAAGGCATTAACCTTTTTATCATCAAATATAGTTAAATCTAGTTTGAACTTAAATGTGATATTTAAAAAGTAGAGGAAGGCAAACCATCCTCTACTTTTTAAAAGAGTTGCATCCGGTTTGCCTTCCACTACTTCAAACTTTACTATAAACTTGACTAGTCTGTTCATTTCTGCTTTGAAAATTTCAAACTCATTTCTTATCAATTCTTCCGTTCTTTTTTGACCATGTAGATGTCGGGGTCTATAGTAATGTGTACTAAAGAGCTTCTTACTTAACCATACATTTTTGTTCATGATGGTTAATTTAAGTGGAATAATAACTGTCTGGAAAAAACTTTGCTCGTTAACTATTTTTGTTTATAGACATTTTGACTAGAGGCACCATTAAAACTATTTTTAATGTGAAGTGTTAAAACTCCCCCATTTTCAAAAAACATTCTGATAGAGTTTTGGCATACCGTAAAAGTTAATATCCTTGTCAGATTATGATTAAACATACCTTGTAGATGAGTTGAAGCAAATGTTTCTGTGACAATTAAACACTCAAGATAACATTTGTGTCTCTCATTCTTAATTTCATGAAGTGAAGGATAAATACCTGCATTATGTATTATCGATGGATTTTTTAATAACTTGATACTGTTCATCAAAAGGTTCAAACTGAATTTTTAAGCTCAAAATATCTTCAGTTTTTATTTTTATCGGAAAATTTATCTCCGTGATTTTATCTTTTTTAGAGTTTGTAGCACTTTTCATGAGAACAACGAAGTCTTTTTTGTTAGGATCTTTAGTGACTTTTTTTTATTGAAGCTAATGCTAATGCTTCAGCAGGAACTTTAGCCAATTTGGCAACCTCAAACAAGATAATATTTAATATTTAAGCTTGTAAACTATTTTTTAAACTGGGTTGAATTTAATTGATTTATAATTACCTTAGATCTTCTGTTTCTATCACCAAAATTTTCCCAACTCTTGCACTTTCTACCTGAACCTACTGCAAATTTTTTTTTTTAAACAGTTACATCTTTGTAAAAACAAGGTTTGCTCGTGTTCTAAAAGTCCAGATTAGGTTCTTGAATGTTTCCGATTTGAATTAGGTTCTTCAATGTTTCCGATTTGAAACTTTGATTGGAATTTAAATTTAAATATTAGTTTTCTTTAGACTTATCATTTCAGGTTTGTAAATACTTTCATAGTATAGACCCTCCAGTCAACAATTCAAGTAGAAGAGCCTCGAGTAAATTATTATGATTTATTTCTAAGCCTTGAGTTATAGGAAC